GGACAACACGCGTTTGGAGAGAAGCTTGGTCTTTATATCGTTGTGCCGCAACAATTGATCGTTGAAATCGGTGTTTGCATCGTTTATATGGTCACTGGAGGCAAATCGTTAAAGAAATTTCATGAGCTTGTTTGTGAAGATTGTAAACCAATCAAACTTACTTATTTCATCATGATCTTTGCTTCTGTTCACTTCGTCCTCTCTCATCTTCCCAATTTCAATTCCATCTCTGGCGTTTCTCTTGCTGCTGCCGTTATGTCTCTCAGGTAAATCATTCAAACCGGTTCGGTAATTTAAATTGTTGTCTTGGTTCGGTTTGGTTTAAGTCCGGTTTATTCAACAAATCGGTTTTCTCTCACTTTTTAACCGGTTCTAAATAAATTTCCTTTTTCTTTAGCTACTCAACAATCGCATGGGCATCATCAGCGAGCAAAGGCGTTCAAGAAGACGTTCAATACGGTTACAAAGCTAAAACAACAGCCGGTACGGTTTTCAATTTCTTCAGCGGTTTAGGTGATGTGGCATTTGCTTACGCGGGTCATAATGTGGTCCTTGAGATCCAAGCAACTATCCCTTCAACGCCTGAGAAACCCTCAAAAGGTCCCATGTGGAGAGGAGTCATCGTTGCTTACATCGTCGTTGCGCTCTGTTATTTCCCTGTGGCTCTTGTTGGATATTACATTTTCGGGAACGGAGTGGAAGATAATATTCTCATGTCACTTAAGAAACCGGCGTGGTTAATCGCGACAGCGAACATCTTCGTCGTGATCCATGTCATCGGTAGTTACCAGGTCGGTTTTTCTAAACAAGAACCTTTAAATACTCAAAGAGAACCGTTATTAAAAAACCAAATCTTGGTTTTGTTGCAGATATATGCAATGCCGGTATTTGATATGATGGAGACTTTATTGGTCAAGAAGCTAAATTTCAGACCAACCACAACTCTTCGGTTCTTTGTCCGTAATTTCTACGTTGGTAAGAAGATTAATTGAAGTTTATTATTCGTATTATTATTATTATTTTTTTATATATATTATTCGTATTATATGTATATTTACATTTTAAAACTATAAATTATGGTGTTAGTTGCTCAATAAGTCTGATTATGTGTTTTTTTTTTTGTCATCTAAATTATGGTTTTGTAGCTGCAACTATGTTTGTTGGTATGACCTTTCCGTTCTTCGGAGGGCTTTTGGCGTTCTTTGGTGGATTCGCGTTTGCTCCAACCACATACTTCGTAAGATCGCCATTTCTAAATGTTTTTCTTCAGCTCGAATGAATTATTATTTATAAGAAAAAAAAAACATATGCATTCTCGTCAAATTTTGATTAATAGAAATTAGCCTAATATAGTTATTTATAATGTTTTCAGCTCCCTTGCATCATTTGGTTAGCCATCTACAAACCCAAAAAATTCGGCTTGTCTTGGTGGGCCAACTGGGTAAGTAAAATTATATTAACTTTTCCAGCGTTTGCGATGTCGGCGGTTGCGTTTTGTGAACTTGTTTTCTTATAAAAAAAAACAAATTTTTGTTTGTTGTTTATTTCAGGTTTGTATCGTGTTCGGTCTTTTCCTAATGGTTTTATCACCGATTGGAGGGCTAAGGACAATCGTTATTCAAGCAAAAGGATACAAGTTTTACTCGTAAATGCAATGTAATATCACTAATTAAGAAACATATTTTTATATTAATATATGTGTGAAAAAGTTTTTAAGAGATCAATACGAGACATAGAAGAATCAATGGTCTGGTCTGAATCTAAATGTAGCTTTTAGGGTTTTTATTTTCGTGTGTTATTATATAAAACAATAGTATATTTTGTTCTTTTCTGTTTTCAAAATGTTTGGTTTTATGAGGAGATTGATTCTTTGTGTTCTCAAGAATAATGATAGATATCTTTCTCACCACTAAGTTACAGTATAATAAGCCATAAAATCCATGGATTAGTAAACGAATTTATTAAAATTAGATGATTGAGATTTCATATCGTGCATATAACGACAAAAATCAGAAGACTCACAACTGAGTCAACGAAGAAAAATCAATTAGATTTTTGATACATTACAAACCAAGATATATAAAGAAACAATGTATGATCTTTGCAGGGTTCAATAATGTTCCACTGTTTCTTATATTTGCATTAAGAATCTAGAATTTGATTAGTCAGATGGGGAAAACCCAATCAAAAACTTTGATTATCTTACTCGAAGATTCGATGACAGTCTTTGCCAGCCAAATTTGCACATGTCAAATAAATCCTCAAGTACACTTAATTCGAAATCGTACTAATCATCGTCGTTAAATTTAATTTTCTTTGTAGTTGGATTTTTAAATTTGGATTTGTTCAAATGGACAAGAACAAATATTTTTGTGTTGACAAATAAGTTTTAAAATTTTTGATTTCATCTTATTATATACTCCCGTCTATTTTATTATATAAAATATTGTAGGGATTTTATTTTGTTTCATATTATATAATATTTTACAAGTTTATATGTAAATTTAAATGCATTTGATATTTTATTACCATTTATATTCTGCAGTCTTTTTTATTCACTTAAACTTCTTACTAAAATAATAAATATAGTCGCGGTTACATATATATGTGCTTCAAATTCCAATTGACGTTTAAATGCATTTAGCAACTTTGTCACGTTCGCATTTATGCTTCTGCCTATGTTTGTGTTCACATTTGTTTTCTTGGTTATGGTTTATATATCATATTTGCTATGCTCACACACATCAACATATATAGTATATACCATACGTATATGTCTAAAACTCTCACTGAAAAATAGTAATAAGGCATCTTCGTTTCGTCGCTGCCGGCGACGGCAAACACTACCGCATGTTGTTGTTCGTTACGATACCGTTGTCGCCATTGTTTAATCGTTAACGCAAAATAAAAATAACGTCCAAAATTTTTAGCCGCAGAACGCAGTGTTGCAGCTAATTAATTATGTCAACCAAATGAACATTAGTATCTGCATCTGCCGCTGCCGTAGGTAGATGCAAGTATGCAACGACCAAACGAATAGCCTCTATATATATTTTTGTGAACTGAAGAAATAAAATAAAACAAAGATCCTCTTAATATAGTATTGGACCTTTGCTGAGCCCATTTATGAAAGGAGAAATTGGGCTGACCGGGACGCCAATATCATACTCATCATTAAGGCTGTCTTTTAAGCTCACTTGCAAAAATTGATGTCCACATACTCCTGAAATCATCCCATTTAGAGCTTAAAAGTTTTTTTTTTTTTTTTTTGATAACCCAGTGTCCAGACCACACTGTGATCCGACTAGTCCACTGGGCCTAAGCCCGCGTTCCTTGGATTTTTAAGCCTCCACTTAAGGGCCCCTCAGATCTGGTGGTCTGGGACGCTGCGCCCCATAGGTAAATTGCGCAGTGGCCGGGACTCGAAGCCGGGTGGCGGGTGCCTCAGACCAGGAGACAAGCACCCGGTTAGAGCTTAAAAGTTTCGTCTAAACTAAGAGAATATTTTACTAGAGTAATTTGCTCTCCGTTGTCTGAGGTTTTGGAAACAGACACAGACATGTGGAGTGGAAAGTGATTTTGATTGGATTAGTTTTTCGTTCCAAATTATTTATATTAGTGTCGCTATTGTTTTATTATTTGGATTTAAAATTTGATAAACAAACCAAAAAAGAAGATTAATAGAATCTGTAACGATGTGATGACATTATATTTATGTTGTAATATTATTTATCGACTATGGAGTATACCTAGTCTAGGATATTTTGATTTTGACCGTCGAGCCAATAAGAGAGTTATGATTCCACCATCGACTATACAATGTTGCATCTAATAAAAAACGAAGCTACTAAAACATATATGCATAATAAATAATATAGTCATCCAGTGATATGTATGATATATGCATGTGTGAGCTGTAAGGTTAGTCCATAAATCATGGGTTTTGTCGTTAAAAGAAGAGAAAGAAAGAACCTTATTTATAGACAAAGGACCAACCAAGACAGCCCTTTCTATGACCTCTCCTCCAACTAAAAATGCCATCTGTTCACTTATGATTTCTTCACTAGTCTCTTCTATTTGTTTTTTATATTTATGTTGTACGTACGCATATAAACAATAAACAGGAAAGCAAATTGAAATCTGGACCTTTCTCTTAAAAAATGATTCATAAACGAAAATATACAAACTGATTTGTTGGAGAAAATATTCATGTGTAGGTAACCAGATAAATTTGAGCTATAGTAGCGGTTTTTAATTACATATGTGGGTCTGTATTGATTCTAGGGTAATGACCGCTTAACGTCTTCTAGCAGCTTTTGGAAACTAACTATTTATATACATGCACTTTCTCATTATCTTTTTTTTTTTTTTTACATGAGATTCATATATGTAGAAAATGTATAAAAACATAAATGGTATATCATTTTTCATTTTTAACATAACTCTGCTATTTATAACTTTTACTATTTAGAACATTATTTAGTTAAGGTTTCAAACGTGATTTCATTGTATAATGTATGTATACGTATTATTGTGTTAAGTTATAACTATAAGTCTATAATATGCAAATGTCACTAATCAACTAAAACCATATTGTTATTGTATACAAGTTATGTAGTATATATTTCAGAATATTTCTCATAAACAAATGTAATATCACATTCACATATACTGTACACCACATTTTATTTTCTCTTACACATTCTTCTATATAGACTAAAGTAATATATGAAATAAATTTACGTAAAAGTAGTACATCCTTTATATTTGGAACAGAACATAAGAAAAACCCATGGTAATATCATATAAATCCTCATTCCAAAAGATATATGTTCTCAGACAAAGAGTACTAAACCGGAGACGAAGAAAACTCTAATGCATATTTATCACAAGTCTAAGTTAGCTTTAACTAGTACTCCACACGCTTATATATGTTAATATTTATGTATATATAGATTATATATATGTTGCTTTCAAAATGTAATGTCACTTACCATCGTTAATATTATTCCCATTTCTTTTTGTCTTTCCGGTTTCAATCACATGCCAAGCCTTAGAGCTGATTCAACATCCAATCTCCAAGCAAACCCACCTGATCTAATCCTCCATACATCACACGGCACCGTCATCTTCCTCCACGTGGACGGCTCGTACCTAACCCTAACCCTGCACGTCACCGCACCGTATAACTCCACCATGCATGCTATCTCCTCCATAAGGTCCATGGCTACCACCAGCCATACCCTGATAACCTCCACGTCGGGAGCTCCAATCATCCTCCGGTACGCCTGGTTTACCCAACAGACCCGGTTTGACCCATCCGACACTAACCATGGACACGTGTCAACCTCTAACATCCTCATCACTCTCTCTTGTCCCTGATCCATACGGCCTAGCTGCTCCAGGATGTGATACTCTCCCAAGTCAGTACACGTGTCACTCACACACTCCACCGTCAACCACGACTCCATCACCGTCCGATCTAAAGATGACGATAGCCCTATGATCGAACCATACAAGCTCTTCTTTGGATTCATATCACTCAGATCCGAACAAAACTCACCAGCTTGATTTCCATTGTTTCCTAGATCTCTACCCTTCTCCGGGAGAAACTCAAGCGTGACGATGTCGCTTCTATCATCACCGTCTATCTCTTTATCGAGATCGGTAGTCTTAATGTTCCCTCTATCGCAACCATTCTTTTTACCAATGATCTTATTCTTATTATTACTAACACTACTAGTCTTTTTATCCCGAACCCTAACATACTTTCGTTTCGATCTTCTGTTTCTTCCAAGGAATCTGCTACTCTTTGCATCGTCGGAAGATTCACCGACAGCTGGTTTTGGCGCGATCGGACGGAACCGTTGCATTATCTTGCTTATAACGGTCTTGTCTTGATCTGTAGCACCGTCGCAAACAGAAGCTTGCCGCTGCTTTCCGTTATCATTCATGACTTAAGTCTGCCTCGATCTCAGTATCTCTCCGGCTGTGTTAAATTGTGTAGGTGTTGTACTGTTGTTATAAGAAAATGCCCAATATTGTTGAAAAGATAAGCGAAAAAAAAAGTTGAGAGTTGAGAGAGTATGAGAGATACCAAGAGGAAAGTTAGTACATAAACACGTGGCTAGGGCAAGCGTTTAGCATATTAGAATAAATTATTTGATGATTGGTTCCATATTTATAGAATGGGTCCCATTTCAACATATTTATGTTGGCACAAAAATTTAATACTCCCTCTATTCCTTATTATTGTAGTATTTTCTAAGAATTTGTTATTTTAAATAGAATAGATATTTAAGTTTTCTATGAAATATTTATTAGTTATTATTGATGAATTGTAAATTTCAAATAAAATAATTGAATACTATTAATTTTAGAGATATAAAATTGTAAATCACAAAAAAAAAAATTTATAATCAATTTATAATATATATTCTTAATATGTGTGAAAATCCTAGAAAATATATTAAAAAGGAAAGGAGGGAGTACATGTTTTTGTCGTAGTAATGTATATACGAATTGTTGAAACCAAATCTTCATAAGTATTAATGTCATATAACAAAGATATATTATTAAATGAAATTAAACAGTCATATTAAATTTTGAAAGAATATGGAGTACTATCATCAAAGTGTTAAATTTACTTTGAACTGAATTATTTATCATGTATATACTCTCGATATTTAAAATGCTAAGTAATCCATCTAATGTAGATTAACAGTGGTTTCTATAAACCGAATTTGATATGATCATGCGTTCAAATACTTATACATGTAATCAAATATTTGTATAATTAATAGATGGGTTCAAGTTCAGAGATATATCATGTACTTCAATGTGTGTTTCTTGTAGTTTATGGGTTGGATTCTAAGAAATTAGGAGTTAGTTATAGCGTTTTTTTTTGTCTATTTAGGTTATTCTTGTTTAATGAAATGGATATAAGAATTATTGAGAATTATGGTTTAATCTCACTCAAAGAGACTGCTTTTTTTTTTCGATTTCTGATTGGAATTTATAAGAATAATTAAGTAAGTAGTAAGTACTTAATAGTCTGCAATTTAATCATCCTTAGAAGTTGTTTATTATAAACGGAAGGGTTTAGGGAACTAGCTAACATCGAACGTGGTTGGTATAAAGGACTCTATCTATATATACAGTTAAAAAAAGACTATTTATTTTATAGTTACATTATTTTTAATTAAATATAGTAATGGTTAAAAGTCATATTACTCGTCTTTTTTCTTTCTGACATTGTTCGGTTTTTACCATATCAAAGAGAAAAAATTATGGTTTTTGTCTTAGTTTTCAAAATTTGATTAGAAGAAATATGGATTATTTATAGCTAAATCATAAAGTATACCAAATTACCTGAATATATATAAACTAAACATCTATGTATATATGAGCATCCATGATCGTCGATGTGTAATACGTATATACACACGTGTTCAGGACTATATCGAGCCAAACAAGTACATAAAAACTAATTTTATAAGCGAATAAAAAAAAGCAACCAATAGAAATATTATTGTTGAGTTTTTTTTTTGAAATTCAAAAAGGCACGACAAGATATAGATATAAGCGTATCTATCGTGATGGGGGATTTTGAGATTTTGGTCTAAATCAGAGTGCTGGACCAATCAGTCGCAACCATCTATTCCACCACTACACAAAGTTATAATCCACGTGGACTTTCTCCTCACCAATAGCGTCACTCTTCATTTTTCCCCATCACACATTGTATATTGTAAAATAAATTTTATTTTATAGGACCATTTCTTATAGGTCTAGATAGAGAGATGCCATCTTGGGTTTAGAAAGAAAGAAAAAATTAGATAGAGAGATGCTATCAAATCAGAAAAAAAGGAGATAGTGAGATGAGAATTGGTTTTAATTCTTAGATGCATACAGTTTAAATAGTTGAAAGTTTCAGATGTTGCATAGCAAATTATAAGTATCCAACGACAAAAGTGGTAAAGCTCATTTTTAAGGAGACTCACTACACTAGGTCAGAAGTTAAATTTCATTATAATATCATGTTTTATATATTAAGATTCAATTTATTCTTCAATGAAATATATGTAACAAAATAGTAAGATAAGTTATAATGTAAAATTTTACTTTGCCTATAGGTTTTGTAATTTGTAGAATCTGACACACTTAATTTTTATTTTTTTTAGTGTGAAAAACTGACACACACTTAATTTGTGTAGTCTCTTTATCTATATATTATGAAGTAGAATATTTTGATAAACTTGAGTTAATCATCGTCAATATGAATCCAAATTAGCTACATACGGAGAATGCAGACATGCAAGTACATCAATAGCATTAAAATATATACAAATTTCACTTATCAGGATAACTACAATGTTTTACTATTCGCTTTATAAAATATTTTAGGTTATTGTACGTAATTCTTTTAGGGTCAATAATTTTCTTGAAGATGTTTCGAGAAAAACATACACGTGATAGGCTCCTATTCGTTTTCTCGTCAACCAAAAATTCTATCACTGTTATAAAAATTCCACAAGCCGCAACATAAGAACGTGACATCAACGTACGGTTAGATTCATCTCACAGTAACACATGAACGGCCACGATCGATAAAAGTGAGACCCAACAAAAAATTCTCTCAGGTATGGCATGACGTCACTAATTCGACGAAACAAGACACTTAAACAGAAAGGGAAAAAACAAAAAATAAGTGAAAGCTGATTGGTTGATGTCTTTCTCTGTCGAGATGCCACGTGTAATATTTTTTTTTTCCTTATGCGTGATTGAGTGTTCCATAACCACTTTATTTATTCCCTCCCTTCGATAGATCTTTTTGGAATTTTATATTATTTTGTTTTTCTTTCGAACTTTTTGCTCAGCCAATGAGAGTTCTCCATATGTTGGGATTCAAAAGCCCACGAAGATTTTTAGATGTGATGTAATCATCATTATTGGCTACTTCAGAATGGGTCTATCTTTTTTTTTTTTTTCATCTAATGGGTCTATCTATCATGCGCATATAACATATCGACAACTTCTTATAATAACACCAATTTTATGCATAGTAGTACGTTCAAAAGCTTCAAATAATAAGTATATGACCCAAAAGCTCTTTTTCTTGCAGCATATATAACTTCAAACTATAAGATGAGATTGCCAATATAGTTTAGAGGCTAATATACATGTCGGTAATGAAATTTTGAGGATCTTGTGCAGTTGTGCTAATAAAGACATTAAGACACACATTGGATTATATTCTTCTCTCTAAAAACATTTATGTCACTAACTTATATTGGTACATATGAATATTTGTAGGTTACTTGAATACAACATCAATATGTTATTACTAAGTGTAATAATATATATTGTGTCATACAGTTTATGTATATTTTCACCAAATACACACACAAATATGTGTATGTTGGATTGTTGGTGCATGAATGCATAATAGTGTCCCAATACAGTTCATGTATCTATCAAGTCTCAACCATATATGTAAATTACATTCATATTCATAGAACGTCGATAGGTTTAGATGATCACTAGCTCTCTTGAAATGCAAAACTAAAAGTTTGTTTTTTAGTTACATTTTGTTGTCATCATCTGTGAATTTATCGGTGATATCTTAAGAACATGCAAATTTAGATATACGTTATACTGAAATAAGACATATAGATACAAATCAATACAAAAGCAAAGGAATGACATCTTTTTATTGAACTTTGCCAATCAATATTTGACATTATGGCAATTTCCAATATATCTATATAAGGTTCTCACACAAATTTATTCTGAAAGACTTGATTCTCAAGACTTTCCCCACATATATTAGCATTAATTAATCAAATTCGTTTCTCTTTTGTACTACTTATTAACTTCCCAATATGCAAAGTGCGAAAAAGTGACTAATTAAGGTATGAGATTATACACCTTAACCACATCTTGGTCTTAATTAATCTTACCCTCTATACCTCAAAGCCAAAGAGTTAAAGCTGCAGTAGTATCCAACCTCCATGCAAATCCACCAAACTCCATCTTCCACACATCACACGGCACCGTTTTAGTGTACTTCGTCTCTCGCCACGTGTATTCCAGTCTCACCTTACAAGTAAAAGTTCGGTGGTCATAAAACGTCGCCGTTTGGTCAACCACCAACCACACAATCACCTCTCTTCCGAATCCGCCGTCTCCGGTTACTATCCTCCGGTAAGCCTCGTTAACCATCACCACACGGTTCCTACCATCCGATATGAAACCAGGACACGTGTCTTTATCTAAAGCATCCGTCATCTCTTCGTCCGTGAACCCTACCGCATGGGAAACCGAGCCACCGTTAACGGACTCCACCGTCACCCACGTCTCTACCGGAACATGTTGCAACACGTCATCACCGCCGTTAAACTTGAGCCACATGTCGGTTTCATCTCTGGTTATCGTTTCCACCGTTGGATCGAGATTATTATGATCCAAACTCAACGGCGTAGATCTCTCCGGTAAGAGCTGTAACGTGACGATATCTTCCCGACCATTCTCCGGATCTGTTGAGCTAGATCTGAAGCTGTTCGTCTTTGATCGACACGTGGCTTTATTATTCTTGGAAACCCTAACATACTTTCTCTTCGTCCTTCTCGTGCTACTCGTATCTCCGACCAATGGTTGACTAGTAGTCGTCGGCTTTGGAGCGATCGGACGGTACTTAAGCATGAGTGTATCAACAGAGGTCTTATCTTGCGCTTTACCTGCGCATCTTAGCGTCCGCCATAACTCATGATCTTGATCCATTTCTCTCTCTCTTTCCTCTATCTCTCTTTTCTATTTTCTCTATATTCTTTCTGTGTCCCTCCGGTGGCCGAAGAGATTAACATTTGGGAGTAAGAGAACGCCACGTGTCTAGGGCAAAACATATACGAGACACTTGAATCAGTGGATAGTTATGTGTGCGTCTCATTTATGTCATCGTTACACTAATTTTATGTCTCTTTGCTTCTTTGTTTTGTTTGAACTTTTATTTTCCGATAAAAGGAGTGATTTAATTAAAAAGAAGATTTGTCTTTGTTTTCTTTAGTATTATCGGCAAATCCTACTTTTTAACCAATTACTGGTGACTATATTTTAAAACCTAGGATCTGTTTTTCGTCCATATATTTTATCAGAACAAAACGTCATTTACCAGTAAAATAATGTTAATTAGAGTAGGTGTTGATACGGGATAGACCTACGGGTCATCGTAGTTCGTCTGATTAATGGGTGGATTGGAATTAAATTTCTTAGTCTTTATACTGAAGTAGACATTTTATAAACTGATTAATTACACGCTGGGTCATAACTTTGACAAATATAAATATTTGTGTCATTGTGTACTATATATCTGCTGATATACTGCATGTGTGTGTATATATAAATTGAAGAAAAACTTTGTGTTAATTTATTGAAGAGAAATATATTTCATATCAAAATATATATATTTTTAGAAGTACTAATTAATGTCAAGCTATAAATTAGATTAGACTCGATTAAGGCTTAAATTTTGTAATCTATGAGCTTTTGGGAGTAGCCTACCTAAGCCTTGCTGCAAAACATCAAAGACATAACGTGGACTAATTTAATTACAAATTAATATATCAGTTCTTCATATGTCTAGATGTATTAATATATGTTTATTATGTGCGTTGCTTAATTAAGTTCATACATGCGTGAGTGATCGATCATATCCAGTAAAGAAGCCAGAAAAATTCGAAACAATGTATACACTATTCTATAAGATTTGTTCTACTTTAATAAATTTTATAGAGATGTTCATTTTAACTAAATTAAAGTATAAAATATAGTTAAAATAACATTTCTCATAATTTTTTTTAACATATTTGTATCGACAAACCCGATCCATAGCCAATTCCTACTTAGAGGATAACACGACTTTTAGTGGTCCGTGGAAAAATCGCAAAAATGAACCGTTAACCACTTGACTAAAGCACTTTCCTCATAATTATCTTATTATAAGTGTAACATTATTCGTTTTTATGTGGTATATTAAATTAAACACACCTTATATCTTAATCACATTTCTAAACAAAAATTGTACAAGATGGTGTTGAATCCACTTTTATTATTCGGTTGTACGTGGTTCCAATTTTTTTTCTTTTTCAATTTTATGCAATATAGAAACTGTACGGATAGAAGATGGCTCGGCTTTACATGATATTTTCCAGCTATAAATGGCATGGTAGACTACTTTAATTAGCAGCAAATATTTGTGTAAAATATGACTAAATCTTCTGAAATATCTCGGGCTCGAATCCTTTAAACGGGCATTGAGATTCGGGTTATATCAACTATCTCTCCGTATTAAGGAAATAAACAAATATGTATGGTCGAAACCGATTAAAAAGCAGGCACACACAAACATTAAATTATACCATAAGCAATGTGACTTTATAACATAAATCTCTCTCCACATAGGTCCATATGATAATTTAATTGGATGGTTATCCAAACCACCCAAATAATTCTGGGAACTGCGATGTGTGATTTGATTGGCTTATTGCTCTTTTATTAATATGATATTTATAAGTATATGATAAAATTAGGTGAATGGGTCCCATGATCAGGCTAAAACAGCATCTGGTGTTTTTACCTCATTTCAAGACTCTTATTATATGGTCCTTCTTTGTCCTCCCAACCAATAAAATTGCATGAAGTGTCCTCCATTTCAAAATTGAAAAAGCTGGCATGTCAGGGCACATTTGGAAATATACACATGTGTATATCTATTAAAAATATGCATGTGTATATTTTGTGTCTCTATTATTTATGGAAGTGTAAAGCAAAAACCCATAAGGTCTTCTTATTGTTCTGTGGTCGGACCTATGTACTACTTATGTAGCCCCGGTTCTAGGGGTGTGCTCTCATTCTATAGGCTATAGCTAAAGTCATATTGGTGCGGTTTTGTGTGTGTGTGAGAGAATCATTTAGGTTCGGTTAGAGGTCAATTCGATTCAGTTAGATTGTAATTAGATTTTGTTAGAGTATGGTACTGTGTCTCATACTTTTTATTTGGTTCACGATTTTGTTTCCCCTTCTATTCCATTTTTTTTGGCTTCCTTTGCCATCAAGATGTTTTAAATCTAAAAATCCAAAACTAGAGATATTAAGGATTTGTTTTTCTTCTCATTTGCATTTGATATATATATATGAAGAACATTTCATGGAATAAACCTATCAATCTATCATACGTATCTTTCATTAACTCTACATAAAACATCACATAAGCATATGTAGTATTCGTTCATTTTCATAAAACACAATAGAAGTCACATTTGTTAATTTGTATGATTCTGTGATGAACCAATAGAAACAAGAAACCACCTATTTTTCCAGTGCCGTTACTCACGACAAGTATGGGAAAAACTAGCAAAAGGGATTCTTCAAGACAAATACACATGGGAGTGGGATTGCCTCACCTTGCTCATCAACAGTAAAACTCTTGATAGGAAAGTGATTTTGCTCCTCAGATATGCCCTTCAAACAGCAGTTCACACCTTATGGAGGGAGAGAAACAATCGACGGCATGGAGAAGATCCTATCGCAGCATCGACCCTTGAGAAAACCATCGACAAGAATATTCGCAACCGGATCACCTTGCTTCGGAAACACGGAAATACAAAGTATGTTGACCTCTTCATATTTTGGCTCTCTACTAGGATTTAATTTCCAAACCATTGTCAAAACTTGTATCAAAACTCAAAAAAGATGCACTTGATGTAACATTGGTTTATTTTGGTGAATAAATTTTACATTCATTCAAAAAAAAAAAAAAAAAAGAAGTCACATTTGTTTTTTGTGGATTTAAATTCGTTTTGTTTTAGTAAAACTTTTACTAAACTCTAACCGAAACTATTTTAGGTTGGTTAAAATATCTAGTATCTTTTTTTCCATTACAAGCAAATACTAAATAGGTGTGGTTGGTCTTTATACAAAAATATATTTAACCATAAAATTAAATTAATAAAACTTCAAATTTTTAAAGGTAAAAATGGAACCCTTCATCCCATAAACTCAATTAACATTCATTTTAGGTAGAAACAATCACTATAATATTCTACTTAATTACTGATATAATTATGCTTTTTCTTCATACCAACAATAAAAAGCATCACTATTAGCTCCTAGACTAGATTTTAGCTAGCATAGCTTTTAATTTTGATAAAGTTGAATGGTCCTTGTAGATAAAGTTATGAGAAGAATAAATTGGTTTCTCTAAGACACGAACGGAAATGCATAGCATTCAAACCGACTCATATTCAGCTCTTATAATGAAAATCTACTTCCACTTGAGCCATTCAACAACGAGATCCAATTTCCGTACTTATAGAGTTATAGTTATCTTTTATGCACTAAAGGACTCACAAGTATAATCAATCAAACTTATGATTTATATGTAGGAAATCTAATGAGTCTGCTTGAGTTGAGTCACATGAGAATTTCTCTGGATAAAAATTCGGTTTTTAGAAATAAGCTATTCTATATATATATCCAGCAGGGATGTGCCTTTAGTCAAGTGGTTAAGTCCATTTGACTCCGCCTTTCCCAGCGGAGTTCGACTCCACTAAATCGTGTTTCCCCGCGTAGTAGGGATTGACTATGGATCGGACTTTGTCGATCCAAAAATGTCAACCGAAGATTTTTTGATTAATACTAGTGTATATATATATCCAGCACAGACACGCAAACTCATGAAATAAAATCGATCGATATATTAACTAAAGTTATCTCAATCTCAGCCTGTGGACTAATGTATTCTTCATTTTTTAAAAGTACAACATATCAATCATTTTCACAAAATTTCAGATTTTGGTCCAATTATTATTATTCCAATGAGAAATATTCCAGATATTTTCTTGTTAAGTGTGGACGGATAGGCCCTTAATGGGCTTTTAATGGATCAACATTAGGCCCATAAGACAAAAAAATCTGAAAGGTGTTGTGTAATGTGTAGTGTGTGACAGTCGCGTCATCTGGAGACATCCATTTTCTCTGGTATCTGTTTACTTCTTCTTCTTCCTCCTGTGTTCGTCAATCGCCGATCTCGTTGCTTCATTTTCCTGTGAGTTTCTCGATTCTACACATATCATATCCGAATCTGCCGTTTCTTCTTTCAATTTCTTGTTTGTTGGATCTTCGGATCTATATAGAGAATCGAATTTTTCTAGGGCTTACGCATATTTTTCGATATTCGTTTGTGTAAAAATGGCATCAATTGGTTGAATATCGTCCCTGTTTGTTTCTCAGCTTGTTGATTGGTACAAGTGTTCCTCAAATGGTTGGAGGAGGAGTTATCCGGCAGCTTCTTAGAAGAAAACTTCATTCCCAATCAGTCGTGAGAATTTTCCCTATATCATCTTTTTTGAATTTCTGTTTCTTTGCCTGAGATTTTAGCTTAGGATCTGTTTGAAGAGAGAATCTTAGGATTTGTTTTGGTTCTGTGTATACGATTCATTGCTCCGAGTTTTGATTCGTTAAGCATACACTTACTTGTTTCCTGGCCATTTTTTTTGTTTTCTTACTGTTGTTCTGTGTTATCATCCACCACCACAGGCGACTCCGGTATTGTCATGGTTGTCTTCGAAGAAAGCTAATGAAGATGCTGGGTCTGCTGGTGTAAGAGCATTTGCTCTCATGGGTGCTGGTATTACTGGATTATTGAGTTTTTCTACTGTTGCATCCGCTGATGAGGCCGAACATGGTTTGGAGTGTCCTAACTACCCTTGGCCACATGAGGGCATTCTCAGCTCATATGACCATGCTTCGTGAGTCTTCAAATTACATTTTGATCAGCATTGTTAAATTGCAACACTGAAGTTGAAAAT